TCCTGGGCTCAAGCATTCCTCTTGCTTCAGCCTCCCAAGTAGCCTGGATTACAGGCACCACATTTTTTTCTATTTTTAGTAGAGATAGTTCTTGCTCTTGCTCTTGCTCAGGCTCGTCTGGAACTCCTGAGTTTAAGCATTCTACCCACCTCACCCTCTAAGAGTGTTAGGATTACAGACGTGAGCCACTGGGCCTGGCCTAAATCTTAATCACTTAATGTTTTTAGAGTGCTATTTTGGATTAAGAAGCGGTCTTCAATTTGGTTTTTATGCATTGTGACATTCCTTTTATGAAAGTTACTTAATATTTGGATTTTTACTTTTAATCATTTTTATTTGGCATCATAAGTGCATATTCACCCACCACTAAGTATTTGGTAAGACGTAAATTGAATCATTGTGCCATATCAATATGTTTGAATGGTGATCAGCTGTTGGAGGTTGTCTCGTTTTATTAGAATAACCCAGTTGCCCAAAGATCTCTTTCGTGGGAAAAATAAATTATAATGGAAGTTTGCTCATCAAAGTTATCCTTATTTAGATTATCCCAAATTTGTATTGCAGAGTTATCTACTGCAGAAAGTAGTAATTTCCTTTGAGTCTAATTCTGAAAGTATTATAATTTGTTTCTTTTTTAGTGACGTTGTATGGAGTCTTTACAATTCATTTCTCTCCAAATGTGCCATCACGATGTCTGTTGCTTGAACTCCTGGACGTCAGTGTTTCGGAATTGCTTTTATATTCCAGTCACCAGGGTTGTTCCATGTGGATGATACAGCATTGTGCCAGAGATGTTCTGGAAGCCCTTGCTTTTCTTCATCATGAGGGTTACGTCCATGCAGACCTCAAGCCACGTAACATATTGTGGAGTGCAGAGAATGAATGTTTTAAACTCATTGACTTTGGACTTAGCTTCAAAGAAGGTAATCAGGTAAGAAATAACCTTTGCTTTTTCCTTCAGAGTTTAAAATCTAGTGGGTCCAAGCTAAGTAATTTTAAATATCAGGGGTAGTTTAGTAGGGACTTATGAGACATTTCTGACTCAAATACTTGAGGATGAATCAAATCAGAAGGATTTCATTGCTGCCATGTGAAAAAAGGGCTTATATTTGGGTCAGGTAGGAGGAACCAGTGAAGCGCAAGAGAACTCTGGAATTATTAAACGTACTTAACCTACACAGGATGCTTTTTAATTTTATGAGCTTTTGGGTAAGTGTATAGTTACTTTTCCTGGTGTTTTCGGTGTTGGGGCTCTATTTCAGGGCAAACTCATGTGACAGTTCTGGCAAATCTTCCATTCTCCATAGTTTATCAGTTCCATGTTTATTAGCAGTTATGCAATAGGTAAGAGATGATACGATGAAGACATCTTTATGAGTAGCTGTGTGGAAAATACGAGCTTGCCTCTGAGAAATGCTCAGTTGATGATAAGTAAGGGCTAAACAAAATTTGACATTTTCTTTGAAAGTATTTTTTACTGCACTTTTAGAAAAGTAAGTACACTAAAAAGATGGGTGGAAGCTGAACAGCTTTTAATTTGTTGTACTATTTATTCATCTTCTTTAGGATGTAAAATATATTCAGACAGACGGGTATCGGGCTCCAGAAGCAGAACTGCAGAATTGCTTGGCCCAGGCTGGCCTGCAGAGTGATACAGAATGTACCTCAGCTGTTGATCTGTGGAGTCTAGGAATCATTTTACTGGAAATGTTCTCAGGAATGAAACTGAAACATACAGTCAGATCTCAGGAATGGAAGGTAAACTAGTGCCTGGCTTTGGGGTTCTTAATCCTAATTTGAGTATTTTATTTAAGATGATCTTGTCTAGGGGGCTACTGCTTTCTTTTACCCATACTCCTCTTTTTGTATTTTTGGTACCTTAAATGCCACTTCTCCTATGGCAACAGATGTTTTAGTGAGCATTATTTTCTTACCGTTCCTTGCCCAGGGCTTGGCGTGTAGTAAGTGCTTGATGAAATGTGTTTTCCAGAAGAAGCAAAAGTGATTCTTTGTCTAGTAACTTAGTTATATTAGGTTTCAAGGTATTACTAATACAACCATGTCATAAATTAAATCATCTTTACATACTGCTTTATGGTTTAAAAAATATTTTAATACTTGTTTACTATCAAAATCAGTAATAATTCCAAAATATTATATTATTTATCAAACCTCAAGCCTAAACAATACTGGTATCGCAGTGTTAAAGCCCACAATGTTTAAAAATATACTGTCGTTAATTCTTAACTGGTAAACAGACAAAAAGTTCATTCAAATATTAGAGATTAGGAACTTAGATATTAGTCAAGTATTTGATATTAAGCAACAAGTATTTTTTTGAGCATCTAAACATAGTGTATGGCTATTATAACATATAGAATTTTGTTTCTTTTAATTTCTTAGTCATTGATTCCTGGTGTGGCAATTCCTAA